CGCTGCGGGCCCTTGCCAGAGGGAGTGCCGCGCCTCACTCCACTGTGGCCCTGTGCCCTACAGATGCTCATCCTGATTTTCAAGGGGAGTAGCTCGACCCTCGGTTGGGCTACTCCGAAAATCCAATCTTCTTCTTGTCGGGCCGAACTCTGTTCCCTCTGGAAGGGCAGCACCTATCAACTCGGCGGGTACTCCCACCTCCTTCTTCCAGGTGGGAAAATTCTGGGGCTCCCCTTCTTCGGCCTCATGTCTGAGATGCTTGTTCAGCTGCGCCTGCTGCTCAGGCGTGAGGGCAATGCCGGCACATCTTAGGAGCCTGCTGGCTTCAACGGCCTGCTTTGGTTGATCCTCCTTTTCAACCTGCTCCTTGACTGCAGATTGGATCTTGAGGATGTCCTGCTCTTTCTGGGCGATTTTCTCCGACATTGCTGCAAGTTCTTTCATACTCTGCTCAAACTGTTCCTTGAGCCTTTCGGTGCGGCTTTGGAGCTGAACCTTCTTGGCAATGAGCGAGCGAAGCTCATTCGTGTTCTGTTTGTAGGCCGCCATTGTTTTCTGAAGTCGCACTTTTGGTGGAACCTCCTCCATTTGCTCATCCTTGGGCTCCTCGATGCCTGCTTCCTTGAGCAGAATCTTGGCTGCTTCATCTGCTCCGTTCCACAGGCTCTGTGCGGCCTCCTTGTATTCTTGATCAGACATGGCTCCTCTGGCTTCCAGGCCCGGGGGTGGTTGCGGGTGCGTTGGGGTCCAGCCTGCCGGGCTCCTTCATCCAGGTGCTGCCATGCCTGATCTAAGGCCTTCACAGCTCTGTTGCCCTTTTGAGCTTTTGGGGAGATTCTCACCCGCTCTGGCGTCCACTTCCTCTCAGTGCCCCAGGACCAATTTCCCGTTTTCTTTGGCTTCTTTTTCCACGGTTTGCCACAATGCCAACAGGTGGGATACCAAGCTAGGTCCTGGCGAGGGACCCAACCTGTGAAGCAATGCTCGCAGGTTGTGAAGCTCATCTTGGTCAGGAAGAGCCAACAAGAAAACAGAGGCTCCTAGCCTGAAGGAAGGGCTCAGATGTTGGACTTATTGAGTTCGGCACACCACTTCTGCCGGCGGGCCTCCGACAGAAGTTTCCCAGCGTCAACGATCCAGTCGTTCCTGGTCTTAGACCAACGAGCCAAAGCACGGAGTTGGTTTGTGACCCTCTGCCCCGGTGTGAGGTCGCGGGCACTGGGCTGCTCCTCGAACTCGGCTTGTAAATAGGGCTTGATTGATTCCTCCAAGGGAACCCTCTCGGCTACCCCAAAGCGCTGCACCTCAGGGGTGCGAGATCGCTCTCTGCCCGCCGTGGTGTGGGGGACCTCAGGCCGGAGGCCGGAGGGAGCAAGGAGAGACTCACTTGCTGCTCAGCCTAGCAACAAGGGAGAGACTCACCTTGCACTGACACACAGATGGCTCTAACTACGGACAAGCTGGGGTTGAATCAGGCCTGTTCCCCAACGACAGTTTGAGGACTCGAGGCTGGTTCACCACAGCTACCGCTCAGCTACTGTGTGCACCCCACCGGGGTTGAGCCGAAACTTGAGCCAGTCACATATATCACTCGAAAGCGGGCTGAGTCGCTAGCCAATTAGGCTCTTCGGGACCAAAGTCCCGGAAGTTAAGGTGAAACGTGAGAACAACTACTCTCGGGAATGCCTTGGCCTGCTAAACACGGCCGAGCTTATGAAGGCATCCGAGATGCTACGGGAAGAGCTACGGGCAGGGAGAACCTCACCATCCCTCAGAGTCTTTACAGACTTGACAAGATTCTCGCCGCAGCTCAGGGAGAAACTCACCTTCTGGCTCATCGCAGATCACTGAAACGGGGCCCTCCCGAGTCGATAATGCCCTGTTCGCTGAGATGGCTCCAGAAGGGCTGACACTCCATTAACAGCGTTTCCGCGCACCACCTAGGGTAAACGCCAACGTGTCTGAGCTTGTCACGAAGCCAGCCTTGGCGTGAAGGGCTGAAATCCGCCACAAGCGCCCAAAAGCCTGTCCAGCTGTGTTTGGCTTCTTTGCCTTCCCATGTCCATTCGTTCGTGTCGAAGAAGATGAGCCTCGGATAGGGGGAATTTGCCGTGGTACGATTCACGGCTACATTTAGCGGCCCCAAATCGCGGAGGGTCCACCCTTCAGCTCGAAGAAAGGCCAAAATGATGGCCATGTAACACAAGAACTGGAAGCAGCTCTGGCTTCCAGCGCCGAATCGGGTGAGAACCTCAACCCCTGGAACACATCGCTCCTGCAGCGACATGTAAAATGGAAACACCTGCTCTCCACCCTGCCACAGCAGGCGGACGCGCACAAGCCCATACCAGTAGACCTTCGCCGTTAACCGGGGAAAGATATTACTGATACGCTCTTCTTCGGCTTGGCTTTCATCCGAAAATTTCCACACCAGGGGAGCCGATTCGGCTACATAGGCTACTCGCGTACGGCCGAACATGAGCATAGTCAGATCCATGGTGTCCCTAACCTGGAGGCTGTGGGTGACGTCATGGATCATGACCAGGTTGACAGGAAGATAATGCAGAGGTTCCTTTGGCTTGCCGCGGTGTGCCTTCCACTGTCCTTGAAAGTGGAACGCGGCTTCCTGTGGGTCTGCCCTCTGACGCGCATCTGCTGCCACTGCGGCGCTTCTTCCTGAACTAGTCGCCCTAACTGTCTGAGGGCTTGCCTCGGATGCTTCGTTGTCCTGGGGCCGCCCTGAGCTCTCGGGAAAGCTTGCGGGGTCAAGAAGAGAGGTGAGATCCTCAACCTCCGCGTGGGCGTCAGGGTGCCCAGGGTTCAATGAGGAGGAGCTTAGCAGAGGAGCCTCATTTCGGGAGAGAACCTCTTCCCTTCTGTGCCCGCTTGAAGCAGAGGAGCTTCTTAACTTGACCCTTCGTTCCCAGGGGGAAAGCTGATCGGAGCGCCACTCCTGGGTTTCATCCGAAGGATCTTCGGGCACGTCTTCCTCCTGTCCTCGCCTGCTTGGCGGAGGAGCAGGTGGTGTAGGGCGAGGTGTTGAGTTTGCCCGAAAACGCGCATCGCTTTCCGCTAAGGCAAGATGCCTAGCGTGGCTCCTTGCTTTACTCCTGGAGATCGAGCCGGGGCTTTTTGTAGGGAGATCTCGCGCGCTTCTTTCCATGTTCACCTCCCATGCTGCATCCAGCTCTTCTTGTGGCAATCTGGATTGCTTGCCTTTGAGGCCTTTGGATTTGCCGTGTCCTTTCTTCCATCCTTTTCCCATAGCTCACTTCCTAAAAGAGAGAGCGGTTTGTGTCAGGCCATCCTTTTTTGCTTTGGCTTTAATTTTTTCTTTAGGCTTGGGAAAAGCAGGTGTGGTCTGAGGAGGCAAAGGAGGAATCTGAGGGAGAGACTCTCCTGTACTGCTACTTGCCACTGCTTCACTTACGCTGGTGTTTGAAGGCACAACGGCTGCGGGATGGGGCGAGCAACTCTGCCTCAAGCCAAAGAAGGCTTTCACGCCTGCCTTGGGGTCTAGGCTTCTTTTTTGGGCTTCCTGGAATTTGCTATTAGGCTTCTTGCAGACCTGGCTGCACCTTCCTTGACATCCCGGTTTGGCCTTTAGGATTCTGACAGCTTGGAAAGCGCCACACTTTTTGCATACCACTGACTCTCCAAGGTTGATCATGTGGTGAGACACATGAAAGCCCCACGGAGTCGAGGTGGGCACAGGCAGACTCTGGCACGGGAACTGAAGAACGTGCACAACCACCTCATGCGGATCGACTTGTTGCACGTAAAGCCCGCACCCTTCACACTTAATGCACAGGTTGTTGGTGCTTTCTCCGCTAGAGATCTTCCAATTGTGCATGGTCTGAGGACTCGCCTCCTTGACTGCATGCAAAAGAAGCTGTTTTTTATTGGGTCCTTTTTTGGGGGGAGGCGCGGCCTTGGCCTTAGCCTTTCTCTCAAATTTGACTTCATTAGCTGAGGGCAGCGGGCAGTTGGCGAGGAGGAACTCAGCTCGCTTTCCTAAGAAAGTGGAGATCTCTCGTGCAGTGCTGTCAATTAGCTTGACTTTTGCCACATGCTCTTGTGACAGAATCTCTTTGGCCTTCTGACCGCACAGCCAGTCTGCATGTCTGTTGGCTTCCCAGGCCCATAGGGAGCCTGCGCCATGCCTGGCTGCGTGCTCCTCTTTGGTTAAGTGCCCTTTTGTCCAGACCGGTTTTAATCTATTACGGTCATCCTGACCTGCGGTCCATATACCAGGCCAAAGGAAATGGGCGTTGGGGTTTTTAAGTCTGGTGAGCGCAATTTTGCTATCACAGGCAACAAAATTGTTTTGGTTGGACAGGCCCAACAGGAAGTCAAGTGCCTTTGACTCGGCGTCATTGACCGTGAAACCTACCTGAAGGGCTCCCACCGCATACCCCACAATCTTGTAGGCTGGATCCGGCTCCGGGCCTTGCCAGCAGCATGCCGGCAGATGGCCGTCCTTGCGCTGTATGGCAACTAAGCTCCAGGTTGCCATTCTGAGCCTGGGATCGGAGGCCTGTGGTCCTCCTGATCCGTCTGTACCAAACCAGACAGGTTGGCAACTATGGTGGTTGTCGTGGTGACGGGGTCTGGGGGCTCCCGGAGAGGTTTGGGGGGGGGTTTAGCCCGAGACTCAGTTTTGCTCCATTTCGCACCAAAATTGTGATCCGTCTGGCAAGCCAAGGTTTGTGCAAAAATGCAGCTTTGCATGCGATGTTGCGTTGCGAACATGCATACTCCTCCACCCTGTGGATGAAAAAGGGTGTGTGTTAGAAAACTGGGGGTTGGGCATAAATGTTTGCGTGCTCTATTTTTTGCTCAAAATATCTTTGCAACACGGCAGACACGACACGTGTGGGGCGGGGGCCACATATGAACATTAGCACAGCAAAATCAAGAAAATACAAGATTTTATGGGTGGTAGTATCAGGTACAGGCTATTTTCGCAGGCAGACCAATATTGTGTAGTGTAGACAGCCATGGGGGACAATTTGCTGGTGGAGCTTCCAGCGAACTTTTCCTTGGACCATAAGAAAGGCAACCGTCAGCACATCCCGAAGCAGGGTGCCACACTGCCACAATGGCTTGTGCTGTATGTTGTCAAAAAAGGGGTGGAGCATCATGCGGAGGCTTGTGTCGCCATTAGGGCAACACAGGTTTGTTTGAAGGAGGGGGCCCTGAGCCCGGCTGAGGCGCTTCAGTGTCAACAGTGGTTTAATGACACACGACACAGAAAACGGCCGGGCTCAGAAGGGTCCAGGGGAACAGAAGAAGAGTTCTTTTGTTGGAGTTTTGACCGTCTCTTTGCTTTTGATGCTCCCATTTGCTTGCGTCGGGAGCAGTTTGCTGGCAAGCAACTCCAGCGTGGCAGCAGGCCCCCAGCAGAACTGTGCAGTGTGCTGAGTCGGGCGTCAGGAAGCCATTTGCTCGGAGATGCTGAGGAGAACACGTTGGCAGAACTTGTGCAGAAGAAGGTTTGGATGCTGCAGGTACCTGCGGGTTTGGATATCCTGTCCCAGGCACAGGCCCAGGACCATGTCTCAGAAGATCTGAGGCTTTGGACACCCCACTCGATTGTGGCGGCTTTGCATGTGAAAGTAGCAGAGCCTGTGCCCTTGCCTGTGCCAGAGCAAGCGGCACAGGGAAACCCCGACGAAGCCCGTGGCGATAGTGACGGCGAGGATCCGGAAGCTGTTCAAGGGGCTGGGGAAGAATCGCCGCCCCCTGGGGGACAATCAGCAGCTGTTGCTGCCAGAATTGAGAAAGTAAAGCATCCCTTGACCCCCTTGCAAGAAATCCAGATTGTTCGCTTGAATTTCATGCTACAGAATCCAAGCGAGTTGCCTCGGGTTGTCAGTTGCGTGGCCAATTTTCTTGGGCCCTTCACAGGAACAATCCGGGGAGATGTCTTGCAGGAGGCCTTGGCTTCTGTGCCGGGCAGATACAAGGTGAGGCAACAGATGCTTCGATTGGATTGGCTGCACATGCTGCACAGGCGGTGCGTAATGCAAGAGCAAGTGCGTGACGGGGACAAGTCTGTGAGCAGGTTCCTGTCCATGGATGCCAGTCCACAGGGTGGATATGAGTACTTGGCCCTGACTGAGGAAGTTCTGGTTAGGCGTTTGCCGGTCATTCCTTCTTCCAATCCGTGGTCCGGCTTCGAGCACGAGTTTCGAACCATGCCTATCATGACACTTGCTCGAGGTGAGACCCGAACCTTGTGAAGGCACAGCGGCTGAGGTCTGCCATCATACTGGAGTACGGGCAGGCGAACCTGGACATGTACCGAAAGCAGGTGAAAGGTTGGGTTTCCGATCAGGGAACGGAACGTGGCATCCCTCATTGGCCAATGGCAGCCGGCGAGCGAATGAACGAGCTGGCGGCTGCGTTGCAGGCAGAAGACCAGCCCTCTTTGGAGTTGCTGGCGACTGGAACGAGCCAAGAATTCTTGTTTAACAGTTTTACACATGCTGGTTTGCTCCACGTTCTTTTTAATGCTCTCGAGGAGACCTGCAAGTCCTGCCCCAGGTGGGACCAAGTGGAAAAAGAAGTCAGTGCTGTGAGCAAGTTGCTGACAAACCGTTCCTTTCGTGAGGTTGTTCTTTCCCGGATGATGCAAGAGGCGACAGCACAAGAGAAGAAAGTTGTGCAGGGCTATCATGGCGAGCTCTTGTCCTGGCGATGGGAGTCCCTGCATGAGACCTTGAAGCACTACCTGGAAGTCCGGCCTTTGCTGTCAAAATACTGGGATCGTGGGCTTCTGTCGTCTGAAGCTGCTTTGTGTGATCTTGTCTCGAGTGCACTGCAGGACCCATTTCATATCGCCTACATCCAGTGGGCGTTTATGTTTGCGGGCTTTGTGCAGGAACTTGCACATTGGAGCGAAGGATGCTTTTGTCACGATGCTGCCCTGAGGAAATGCAAAACCAAAGCCAGAAGGGCGTCCATCAAGTGCCCGTGGAAAGGCCGGCGTTCCAGCGTGCTCTGTGCCGGATGGAAGGACGAAGTGATCAGCAGGGTGCATCGTGTGACCAGCACCAGCTTCACAGAGACCATGCTCGAACTTCCTACCCAGGTGTCTGCTGCGATGGCTTTGCTGGACCAACAGGCCCGTGACAAATGGGCATGCATTTTGAAGGAGAAGCTGGAGTACTTGGACCACGTGCCACATCGGCTGGCAGGGGCCTATGCCCACCATGCCAGGCCCGACTTGTATGGCTTGCAGCACAGCAAGCAGATTGTGCGGGAATGTTTTGAGGAGTATAATGCTTTGAAAGAGCAGGGTCGAACGAATGCACTTCTTCAAGGTTTGTTCGAGCGTCGTGGCGATGCGGGCCTGGCTGACCAATTGTGGGCTTTTGGGCAAAGTTCACCTGACGAGACTCTGGAGAACTTTCCGTGTGCTTGGGCAGAAATTCAAGAGCGAGCGTTTTGCTCCATGGTTGAGCGGAGCACTGAGAGACAGCATGTTTTGATCAAGATCGGGGGCCGGAGAACCCTGAGGTTTGGGGGGCCTGCGATGACATGTGTGCGTGCCCGGCGTGCCCAACTGCAGGCGATGATCGACGATGCACGGCAGTGTGCCTTTCTAGCAAGGGAATGGAAGCGACGAGGGTTGGAAGCAGATCTTCTTTCCCATCTGTTGACCAAGGAAGAGTGTGCCTGCAAGACGAAGAGTTACCTGGTGTCCCGGATTTATGGCTACAATGAGGCCGACCATTTCTTGGACGATCTGCGTGAAGAGGAGCAGGCGGCCCAGGCATTGCAAGCAGCCACGACCCTGGCGTTAAAGGCTGGTGACGAACAGCACCAGGTGGCATCGTCCCTGGACAAACGGCAGTGGATGATTGTGGACTACATCAAAAGCCAGCTCGAGTCTGGCATGCTCTTCAGTGTGCCGGAGATGTTGTTTGATTCACTTTTGCCAGATGCCGAGTCGGAGGCTTTGCAGGAGGGTGTGAATTTGGACCTTTGGAGTTTTGTGAATGCGTTCATGACAGAGGAGGCCGTCTTCCCCCCCAGCGAGTTGGTGTACTGCTATGTCTTGGATGCGAAGCCCGAGAAACGAGCACAGCAAAAAGGCTTGACTCACGTGGACAGGCGTGGCCACATGAAAGTCCTGAGGTTCTTGAATGTGGACCTGCAGAGCCCAGCAGAGCCCCGGGTCACATACTCCCACACGGCCCGGCACACACTGGACTTGCTGAAGCTGGCCACTCCGGCTGGCTTGAAGCTGCTTGAGTCTCAGTGCACACTTTGGGCATCAACTGCCAAATCCTTGCAAGTGCAGGTCATGCCAATTGAGGGACCTCAGGCGTCGCCGGATGGTTACCCGTCCCACTCGCTTAGCTTGCCTGCGTTCGTGACCGATGACGACATGTTGGAGGATCTGCGAGGAGAAGCACAGCCTGACAGGCAGGCCCTGTCCGTGGCGGAAGCATCTCAGCAACAGCCACAGGCCGTGGCAACCCTGGCAGGAATTCCAACACAGCACGAAGAAGCCCTCCTCCAAACTTTGCTTGAGAGCCGAGCTCTGGGTGAAAACTTTCAGGCGCCTCTTGATCTTCCGTATTACAATACGGAAGCAGCTGCAGGTCTTCACCGTCGAGGTCTCATCAAGCTTCGTGAGGATGCTTTTGGCTCAACGGAAATTGCACTGAGTGATGCCACGAACGTTGTCAGCGTTTTGAGTCTGACCGACCCCATAAGTCTCTGTGCGGATGAGGTTTGCATGCGAAACCCACCTGGCAGAAACAAGCTTGCCTGGCTGAAATCCTTGGTTCAGGATGGATGGCAGCCAGCTGATGATGTCGAGGATTGGCATAGAAAAGGTGGTGAGAGGAAGCTGCCTGAAAACATAATCCAGCGACCAGAGAGCCACTTGAAGGCACTCCGTGTCCATGAGAGCATCTTCGAAAAGCCTGGGGGACTGTTGCGAATTTGCCATTCAGGCTCTGCTGCTTTCTACGACTTTCTTTTGACAGCAGCTGATTTGTCCGACGTGCAGAGTTGGTCATTGCAGCAGTGCCGTGAGTTTGCTGCAGATCGAAAGCGGAAAGCTGCCCGGGCAGCACAGGATGCACAGCAGCGTGGGCTTCGGGCTGTGGAGAAACCTTTGTCGCTGGCTCTGGACTTGCCAGCAGAGCCTTCTGTGCCGTGCCGAATCCCAGGGATGCACGACTTTGTAGTCCATTATGATAACTGGACTCACCAGAGTGGCCATCGGCGAGCTTTCGTTCAGTGCAGGGAAGCATCTCATGGCAACTGCAGGAGATACACTTTCCTGCGACAGCATTCTGACAAGGCCACTGCGGTGGCATGGCTGTTAGCGTGGGTGATGGAAGCTTCGAGATTTGAGACAGGAGCTGAGCATGTCAAGTTCAATCCCACGAGTCAGAGTGTCAAGAGATGCAAGGATAGGCAGCACTTAGGGGCCTAGGCGTCTTGTCGATCAAACAGCGAGTTTTGTGAAAAAAAATCCCCCCAAACACTGTGCTGTTGCTCACTGCGTCTCCCGTCATGTCCCTTTTGAGCTGTGTTTGTGCTGCAGGATTTTGGGCTTATGGGTGCTGGGAGGAGCAGGGAGCGGACACCCAGGCCATGCGAGGGTTGGGTTTGGGTTTTGGGTTTAGGGTTTAGCATTTAGGGTTGAGGGTTTGAGGTTTAGGGTTTAGGGTTTAGGGTTTAGGGGTTAGGGGTTAGGGGTTAGGGGTTACGGGTTAGGGTTTAGTTTAGGGTTTAGGGTTTCGGGTTTAGGGTTTAGGGTTCAGGGTTTAGGAAGGGTTTTGGGTCAAGGGTTAAGGGTTCAGGGCTTCGTCTCGCCTCAGTGGCCGGGGCCTTCGGGCCTGCAGGTGCTGAGGGAAGCTCGTGCAGTCGGTGCCCTGTTTGTCAGTGGCCGGGGCCTTCGGGCCTGCAGGTGCTGACAGACAGGGCATGCAGGCGGCGAGCAAGCGAAGGGGTTTATCGAGGGGCTGTGGGTTAAGGGCTAAAAGCGAGAGTGTTTTTTCTTCTTTGCCTTCCCTGTCAGGAGAAACATGCCTGGGCCGAACACGGCAAAAGCAAAAGCGGCTGGGCCGACTGGTGCGGTTGGCGGGGCCGAGAAGCAGCGAGCTTGCTCGGCGGACAGAAAGAGCCCGAGCAACCGGTCCTCCGAAGAGGAGGACAAGAAGGACAGAAAAAGCCGAAGCCACCGGTCATCCGATGAGGACGACAAGAAGGACAGAAAGAGCCCAAGCCACCGGTCATCGGATGAGGAGAAGAAGGACAAGGAGTCCTCAGAAGAAGGCTCTGGCTCGGGTGATGGCTCGGGCTCCAAGACCTCGAAGGATTCCCCGGCTAGGGGCCGTCGTCGGCAAGAGTCGACTGAGACGGAACGGAAGAGCCGCCGAGACCGTAGCCGGAAGCAGTCGCGATCCGGGAGCAGCGAAAGAGAACGAGGACGTCGGGGCTCTCGCCGTGGGCGAGAGCGGTCAGAGACGACGGCCGAGAAAGATGAGGGCCGTGAGGGGCAGCCATCAGAAATGGTGGCAAAAGGCCGGAAATCTGAGGAGAGCCAGCGAGGCCGTGACACGGAAAGGGGAGAGGCGGGAGCGGGGAGCTCAAGGCCCAGGTCCTGGTCATTGGTGACCAATGCTGCCGACAAGGGCGAGACGGCCCAAGACAAAGGGGGCAGCACGCCCCAGGCCGGGCAGAAGAGGGACCACAGTGAGGAGATCTTTGGGCCCTTCGGCACTGACGTGCCGCAGTTCACGATTCGGGCCCTCCCAGCAGACAAGGCCGCTGGCTTTTACAAAGGCCAGTGGCAGGAAGAGAAGGTGCGGTGCCCTGTGTGCTGGCAGGTGAAGCCACGGACAACGATGTGGCTTCACCTGCAGCAGAACTCGATGTGCCTTTGGTGGCAAAAAAAGTACCAGGGCATCGAGTACAAGGCTGAGTTCCAGTGCATGCACTGCGACAAGATGTTTTACCAAGCCACAGCCAGGGACCAGCACGAGCACCGCTGCTGGCTCAACCAGCCCCCGGCGGAGCCGAAGGATCCTCCTCGAGCAAGGGTGGCTTCGGAGCAAGCTGCAGAAGAACAAAGGGCCACTTCTCCAGCTCGGGCAGAGGTCCAAGAAGAGCGACGGGCCAGAAGCCAGCCTGCAGAGGTGCACCTGCGAACAGACTCAAAAGTTCGCAGGAGCAGAGAGAAGAAGGAAAAAAAGGAGAAGAAGCAGGCCAAAAAGTCGAGGATGCCAAGCCGGCCCCGAAGTGCCCGAAGCCACCGCTCTCGACAGCAGTCGGTCAAGAGTGAAGAGAAGAGCCCAGAGCCACCAGGGCCATCCAGCGGCCCCGGGAGGAAGCGGGAGGAGCGATCCCGGAGCAGGGAACGCTCAAGGCTGCGAGCATTCGAAAAGCTCCTGGATATGGGCAACAGAATCTTGTAGTTGTGGTTTCACCGCCAGAGGTGCGAAAGCACCAGATGACACTGGCTGGTAGGCTTGTGCGAAGAGCAAGAGTAGGAGCAAGGTGCTAGGACCCCCTAAGGCCCTATAGCCCTAGCAGTTATGGCCCAGATAGGAGGGTTTTGGGTTGATTAGGGTGGCACAAGCCGCGCCGGAGTGCGGAACTGGGAGCTGGAGCTCTTCCAAGTGAAAAAGAAGGGTGCGTCTTGCTTGTTTGGGGTGGGGTTCTAGCACGGGTCGTCCCAAACCAATTTTTGTGTGTGATTTTAGGTGGGGTTGGGGGGGGGGGTGTCCCGACAGTGTCCCGGCACTGTCCCGGCAGTGTCCCGGCAGTGTCCCGGCAGTGTCCCGGCAGTGTCCCGGCCTGTCCCGGCCTGTCCTGGTGTGGGTCCCGGCGTCCCGCCGCGTCCCGCCCACGTCCCGCCCACGTCCCGCCCACGTCCCGCCCTCGTCCCGCCCGCGTCCCGCCCGCGTCCCGCCCACGTCCCGCCCACGTCCCGCCAGCGTCCCGCCAGCGTCCCGCCCACGTCCCGCCAGCGTCCCGCCAGCGTCCCGCCAGTGTCCCGGCAGCGTCCCGCCAGCGTCCCGCCAGCGTCTCGTTAGCGTTTTGCCAGCGTCCCGCCCGCATCCCGCCCACGTCCCGCCCACGTCCCGCCAGCGTCCCGCCCATCCAGCCGGCATCCCGCCACCAGCGTCCTGCCCGTCCCACCCACGTCCCCTCACCCACGTCACGCTTTGGTCCCACCCTTGTTCCTCCCTTGCACCGCCCGTGTCCGGCTGTGAAGGGTTTGGGTTTATTGTTTAGCGTTTAGCAATGGTTTAGGTTTAGTCTTTAGGGTTGAGGGTTGAGGCGGTTGAGGGTTTACGGTTTCTGGGGCCACATCCAGACTCCGTGCCCGTTTTTCCCGTGCCCATTGCTTGCTGGCTGTCTTTCTTCAGGGTTTGGTGTGCTTGTTGGACATGCGGCGTTGTTTTCCGTTAGTTTTCGGCTCTTCCCAAGACAGTGTACTGTCCACAATGGCTCGTTCGCGTACACCCACTCACAGGGCGAGAAATCGCAGCGAGAAGGAGACAGGCGAGACAAAGCAGCAGATCGTCGAGGACTCTGGAAAAGGGGCCCGTGAGCAGCACCCGCCCCGCTCACGGAGCCCCAGAAACAGGGAAGAGTGGCGATGGTGCTGGCGTTGGTCAGAGAATGTGTGGTGGTGGGAGTGGTTTCCCGTCACCAAATCATGGCTTCGAGAGCACTGAGCCAGCACGAGTGCAGAGCACATGTTTGCGAGCTGCAGCAGGCAGGCAGCAGGTGTTTTGCAAAGGGGGCCTGCAAGTTAATTAATGTAGGTTTTGCTCGCATGCTTCTGCAGCATGGGGGGCCGAGAGAAATTATAGTAGCTCCGGAATAGACCTTTGTTCTGGCACAATGGAAACCATTGGAAGCCCGACGGTCAACAGTCAAGATGGCAGCAAGACAACGTAAAAAAATGTGCTCGAGCAGACTATCATGTTTTCATGCAAACATGTTCCTCGAGTCAGTTTGTGCAGCCTCACAAGCTTGCCTCGATCCAGACACACCACCCCCAAAACCTATCCTTGAGTTTGCATTCGATGCTGTCTCTCATGTGCACCTGTGCTCCAGCTGGAGTTTGTCGCCAGAGACGATTGTATTATCAGCGTTCTTTGTTCTGGGCTGTATCTTGTATCTTGCAGACACATATTGGCTAGAACATTCATTCTCGCATATAGATGAATCTTTAGGCATTCTTACGGCGTCTGCAGCTATGTTTGCACTGCAAGAAAATGGAAGTCGGTCCATGGGCAAGGAGCCCATGGACCTGAAGCTTGCAGCTTACAGGGCAGGGCGTGTGCTGCGAGTTCTCGGTCGGCCGGTGCGAGCAACCGAGCCATGTTTGGGCCTCGGCGGCCTTCGACGATTGTGTCAGCTCTGCGAGAGCCCATACCGACCCACACAGGCCTTTGATGTGGACGATGCTTTGTCTGCCTACCACAAAGGATTGCAGCAACAGCAGCAAGACATGGAGGAAGGCTTGCACATTGGGGAGTTTGCTGGAGATGTGAACACATTTCCATTGGCGAGCTTGGAACCATCAGAGATCTTTTGTGCAGGGCCACCCTGCCAGCCATGGGCAGGCACAGGCAAAGGCGATGGTGTCTTGAACGAAAGAAGCGATGTGTTCGAGACTTGTGTGTCGTGGGTAATCGAATTGGGTTGGAAAGGCCAGCTGGTGGCCTTCACGATAGAAAACTCGGCCAGGTTGATGATGGACCCCTACAGCCAGGAGGTGCTGAGAACATTGAGGCTGTGTTTGCCAATGTTCGTGGTCGAAGCCACGGTGCATGACTTGAGCGAGTTTTGTCCACAGCAGCGTCAGCGAATGTGGATCAGAGGGTTGAGAATGGATTGCAATGGATGGCGGACTTCTTTACCGCCACCATTGACAGCTGCTGAGCTTGGGGGTCGGCTCTCTTTCGAGGGAATGCTGGACAAAAAGATCGACCCCATCAACCCGACATCCTTGTCTGCCACGATGCGTTGCAATTTGGCTGTGTATATGAGGACCATTGTGCAGGATGTGCAGCAGGGGAAGGCCGGAGAAATTGCAGTTCTTCAGCTGGACAGAAACCCCTTGAGGGAATTCAGCTGCACCGTACTGTACGACTGCATTCCGGCCTTGAGAACAAGCGGGCCCAGGCTTTTCTTGTTGCATTGCGAGGATGTGCAGCACGAAAAACTTTGGCACCAGCACCAGCTGCACAGGTTCCTTTCCTTGGAGGGAAGATACCGATTTCAGGGGCATGATCCTCATGGGTGTATGCTCTTCCGTACGAAAACAGATGCAGCCAGGGCAGTGGGCAATGCCTACCATCCCCTGCAACTTGCTGCCATGCTTTGCCCTTTGTTAGAGGCAGCCTATGTCAGGGGGTGCTTAAAGGAGAAGCCAGAGACCTTGACTGAGTCCGAGCTCAGATCCCTGTGCCCGTCGGCAAGCGAACTGTTGGGTTTTGCTGGCAACAACGAGAATCAGGATGTGAAGCGTGAAAGTGTTTGTGTGAAAAAAGAGACAGCAAGCACAAAGAAAGAACCAGCAGAGCTGCCCAAAAGAAAGAGGCCCTGCCAAGCGACAGGAATAGTGTGGCAGGCAGGACAGCTCAAGCAACATGCTGCCAGCCAGGTGCTGGACTTGGCCTCTCCTCAAAGGCGAGTGCGACACAAGGGCCCGTCCTGAGTGCAAATCTAAATTTATAATTGATAATTAGGTTTTCCTCGTGAGCATCGTAGAGCTTTAGCAACTAGACCAGCGAAGCCGACATGATTGTGCAAGCTGGTGGACCCTGGAATCAAGCGAAGCATGTGCAGATGTAGAAAATGACTGTTTCCTTTGTCAGCAGGTGTGTCTGCACGGTTGTCTATCACTGCATTGCGTTAGGTTGTAACTCATATATCCGTAGCCATTTCGGTTTGTTGACGAAGCCTGTGCCCTGACAACAAGTCACTTTTGTGAAGGCTGACCATGTCTGTTGCCAGCTCCAGCCAGGGTGCCCCAGCAAGTGACGGCTCTGGGTTCGGGGCACCTGAGCAACTCCTGTGCCAGAAGTGTGGTGACCACACGTCGATGGGACAAAGTGCAGCAACGGGCAGGAACCCGTTGCTGAGGGCATGCAATGCGTGTTTGGCAACGGACCGTTGGCTGGCGAGGAGCCAACATAAGCCCAAGAACGGCCGACCAGAGACTGAGGAGGAGAAGACAAGGCGAGCCAATGCCTGCAAAGTCAAGGAAGACCTCAAGAAGAAAACTCCTGAGGAGAGAAAGGCCTGGTACTTTGAGCAGAAGTCTGCGAGGGCAATGGAGGACCACACCAAGAAGAGGAGTTTCTCCTCGGCTGTGGGCAGCGTCGAGGAGACGAGAGAGGCATCGTCATTGACTGACGATATCGACAAGTATATCCCCTTCAAGATCTGGGCCCAAGGTGAGATGGCATTGAAGACCTATGCCACCATTGCGGAAGCCAAGCTTGCCTGGGACAAGCTCATTGCCGACCCAACCACACGAACCATGAAGCAGAATGGCGAAACCCTCATCTATGAGTTCGGTGGCGTCGAGGTGCGGGCTCGTCAGGCCCATGGAATGAAGGCTGCCTTGAGACAGCGAATGGACATCTCAGAGCAGAAGGACCTGGATGAGTACAACCATGAAGCTGACAGCAGAGTTAAGAGGGCAAGGGGCAGACTTGAGGTAGAAATGACTGCCAATGCGGCGGCTGACGGCGACTCCCAGAACGTGATCCCCCTCTTGCACGTTGCTCGAGACCTCGGTCACTTGAAGGAGCAGGAGGAGGCCAGAGACTTGGAACTGCACCAGCAGGCCTCGGAGCTCCTGCAGCAGCGGAAGGCACAGCAAGAAGAAAGGAAGAAGAAACAGGAAGCACAGGGCAAGAGCCTGCCTTTGGAGAAGTTGGCCCTTGATGCTGCTCGAAAGAAGGCCAGCCAGAGCATGACCGACCTGGTTTTGCGGCAGCAGACAACCCTGAAAGCCATCGAGCTCGACAGCGAGAAAGTCATTGAAACCGAGGGCGATGACTTGAAGAAGGAGCGGCGCGAGAACATCTGCAAAGTGCAGGAGGCCATGGAAACCTTGGAGAAGAGCATCCGTGCGAAGGAGAAAGAGTGGGAGAATGCCCTGAAGGGTGACACCGTGGATGCTGAAGAGGTTGCAACATTGAGAGCTGCAGTGGCAGACTACATGAAGGCCTTCCACACCAGCAACAGCGACGTGAAAGAAGTCAAGAACAGGATTGCGGAACTCCGGAATTGGGTGACGAAGACCAAGAAAGCAATCAACGACAGAGAGAAGGCAGCCCAAAAAACTGCGGCTGGCAGGAGGATGGCAAAAATGGCCCAGGGCTCCGGCCTCAACTTGTTAGCTACGGCTCTGGCCAAGGAGTGCAACACCCTTGAAGCGTGTGGCAAGGTGCTGTACAGTTTCGCAGCCGAGCCACTCCTGAAGCAGTCGTTGCCTTGTGTGTTCGAAAGCCAGCGGGCACAGAACTTGCTGAAGGCCGTGAAGGGTTTGGAGTACTACGACATGCAGAAAGCGTGGGTCGCTGAGAAGATGGCGTCATCAAAGGCCACAGCATGCTCGGCACTCATCTCAAAGAAGGCAGTGGCGGCGAAAGTCACTGATTTGGTGCGAAAGAGCTGGAGTGAGGTCACGGGCAACGATGGCCTGAAGGGCTTGCCCGATGACTTGTCGGACCTCTTTGCCGTCCAGTTCGGGCAGCGACTCCAGCAAAGTGTCAATGTCTATTTGCGAACAGAGATGAACTTGCCCATGCTGCTGGTCGTGCTGGAAGGCTCCCTCACGGTCAGCGGATTCCCATCGAAAATGCTTGGTGATGAAAGACTTGCTGGTCAGCTCAAGAAGCTGGAGGCAATGCCTGCCACACATGTGACAGCGGAGGTTGCCAGAAATGGCTGGGTGGTGAAACTCCAAGCGGGGGGAAGCATCCTGGTTCCACCAAACACTTGTTGGTTCGAGTGGGCGGGACCAGACGAGGACACTCACAGCATCCGGCAGCTCATTGCTCGGGATGCTTTCGTTGGGCCCATGAAAGAGTGGCTACAGCAAATGCGTTCGGAAGGGAGTGTGAGCGAGCAGGACAGGCTGCACAAGATGCTCGAGTTCCTGCAAAAACAGCAGGAGGAGTGAGACCTACGGGTTCTCGCAGCTCGAAGACTGGAAGCTAGCTTCATCTCAGATTCCCAAAAGACTCTCGAATCCTCGTGGCCTTGATTCTTTTCGAGTCCAGAATCTTAGTGTGTTTCGTATGCTTCAAGTCAGATTCCAGCGGGGCTCTCGAGTCCCTGTGGCTGCGGGGTTGCTGGAATCCCGTGGCCAGGCGTGAAACCCGGAGTCACAGACAGGAGCATAGTTTTGGAAGAAGCTTCATGCCAGATTCCGGAGGGACTCTCGAATCCTCGTGGCCCGAATTTTGTTAAGTTAGCGATTGTGTGTCCGTCCTTGAGGCCGTCTGAGATCTAATAGCTAGCAACCAGAGTCCAGAGTTGGTGGCTTCTGCCAGCAGTGCAGCCACTTGCATTTGAGCAATTTTTCATCCGTTCTGAGCGACGTCCGCAAGCAGCGACGGTGGCAAAACAATAGCCATGTGTAAGGTGCGATTTAGATTGCCGTAGTCAGAGAGTCAGAGTTAGCATTCATTGCTCGAGCCGGACT